GGGACATGCGTTTATCGCATGAATTGAACATGACATGAAGTGTCTAAAATAAATGTGCAGAGTTCAGCTGAATGATGAAGTTTAGCCTACTTTGGACTGTATGCTTTTGTAACAGAGTGAAAAGGTATGTTAAATTATTGCATAAATGGGGACAGCGCTATCTATGTGGTGCGTGATGTGATTTAGCGTGTGGAGTAGGAACCGCCCACAGCAGAGTTAATGAAGCATTACTGTGGGTAAGTTGGACGTTTTTCGTGGTCTGAGAATTACCATTTATAAGTGTCCAAAACACACAAATATTTGCTTTATTGTGATTGTATCTTTCAATGAATATGTTGGGACTCTGTTAACCTTGTTTGGCGTCGAGTGTGTTGCTCAATATTGAGTTATAACGCGTTTATATTACGAGGCCTGATTGTAATCAATTTGTGTGTTGTCTTGTGTTTTATTTAGAAATGGTTTATGCTCTCTCTGAATCAGTGAAACCCTATTACACAGACTGTCTCCATTGTGCAGAAAGCAGACCGCCCATGCAAGACCGTCACATTGGTGCCGTGTCCCGGATGGGAGTGAGGTTTAGGGGGGTGAGTGTAACAGAGGCCAACGAGTAAGTGCTGTGCAGGTAAACCTCACTCCCCTGATCTCTAGAGGCTGCAGTCTTTAGCCTCTTTGTTAGTGCGTCCTCCCCCCATGCCGGAGACCGGGGTTCGAGACCCACTCGGAGCGAGAACGAGGTGTGGCGGTGAGGACCCGGGAGAGAGGGGTTACACTTTGCACAAAATTAACAAACTGTACACTGAAACAAAATAACCAGAACATAAACAATAACGGATAGAGCTCGTGGTTTATCTGTAAATCAGATGCGCTCTCAGCCACTGATCTATGCTCGGGACGTTTTCTTTTATAATTATCATTGGCTGATAGAAATGTTTAAAAAAAATAGTATTCAATCACGTCATGATCTATTCTGTAGTGCAGACGCTAGAGGCTGCAGTCTTTAGCCTCTTTGTTAGTGCGTCCGCCCCCCATGCCGGAGACCGGGGTTTGAGACCCACTCGGAGCGAGAACGAGGTGTGGCGGTGAGGACCCGGGAGAGAGGGGTTACACTTTGCACAAAATTAACAAACTGTACACTGAAACAAAATAACCAGAACATTAACAATAACGGATAGAGCTCGTGGTTTATCTGTAAATCAGATGATGATCAGATGATCAGATGAAACTGATCTATGCTCGGGACGTTTTCTTTTATAATTATCATTGGCTGATAGAAATGTTTAAAAAAAATATAGTATTTTAGATGGAAAAAAGATCAAGACCCTTGATCACGTCATGATCTATTCTGTCGTGCAGCGCAACGATGTGATAGAGCTCGTGGTTTATCTGTAAATCAGATGCGCTCTCAGCCACTGATCTATGCTCGGGACGTTTTCTTTTATAATTATCATTGGCTGATAGAAATGTTTAAAAAAAAAAATAGTATTTTAGATGGAAAAAAGATCAAGACCCTTGATCACGTCATGATCTATTCTGTCGTGCAGCGCTCAAAATTGTGGGCAAGCCAGGTCCACTGTAAAATAACCTCTTAATCGTTTTTTTTAACTGGTTCTAATGACTTCTTATCACTTTTAGCGAGCATGAGGGAGGTGAATGGTAATAAAAATATAAAAATGGTGCTTCTCAAATGGAAGGCTGCATCCTAAAATTCAGATGATCTCAGTACCAACTCGTTTTCTTTCAGTTTATTTTCGTGAATTAAAAAATGTGTGCAGCCTTCGTAGGATGCAGCCTTCCGTTTGAGAGGCACCCATAAGCTTTGTTGAACTGAAAAGGGCTCTGAATGAGGAGTCGATTCCCCTTGATGGAATCGATTCCAACCTTTGGAATCGACTCTCAATTCCCAATACCTCGGAATCGATTCTTTTTGGAATCGATTCCCAGCCCTACTTGAGCTCCAACTGCCAACAAAACACAGACATCTGATGCCGTTTCACTTACCATCTGCAGTTCTGAATCATTACCAGGATCTTTTATAGCTGGGACCGCTCCATCTTTCAGTATCAAACGATGTGCAAATCCAGCGTCGAACTGGGCTTTGTTTACAAAACGTTCGTCAACAAACATGCTTGTGAAACTGCCTTGCTGCTCCGGAAAAACAAACTGGATCCACTGTTTATATAATGTTGGGTTCTTTAGGAAGCTGAACAAAGTTATCTTTCCCTTACAACCAAAAACATACTTCTTTAGAGACATTCTTCCCGAGCGAGTCCCGTGAAGAGCTGCTGAATGAAGCGGGTTGATGGGCGCGCTCTTGCTCTGGTTGATGTGTGTGCGGGTGCGCTCTTCTGGGAGAAATGCCCATATAAGGAGTTCTGCCCTCGTCTACGTCATGAAGAGCCACGATTGAAAAAAACTCTCCGAAACTTGTACGAACTCGGAAGTAAGATTTTTAGGACAGAAATACTCTATCATAGGTCCAAGTTGTTTGTTTAAATTTTGTCCATGCTTAGCATGAGAATTAAACTCTTTAACTGTGTAAACAACTCTGAATGCATGAAACAGCATTGTACCCACTTAAAGTACTTTTCTTATATTATCACAAACGTTCTAAATTAAAACTTACCATTGACATAAACAGTCAGCTCTACTGCATTTAATTCTTTATTACAACAATCCTGTGGTTCATAAAGAACTTTGTTTTGCTACCTCCACGAGTGCCATCTATGATTGCCTTGCTTATCTAAAAGTGCTCTTATCCTTTAAACCTAACCAAAAAGCCATAGCATGTGTTGACTGTGAAACACAGTAGACTTTAATTATATGCATTTATGGTATAATCATTGCATTTTCGTGTCAATCCATGTTCATATTTACCACAGACAATGCGCTGTTACTTTAATTTACTGCTTGCAGCGCAGCAAAAATAGACTCGGTGCGGAAACGATCGCTGCACTGCTGCAGACGCACCGCTCCTGGAACGCACTGCCGGACCACAACTGTGTGCAGAGGGAATGCTTTAATCCGTTAACATGAGTGCAGAAAACATACGCACTGCAAACGGAGTAATGTGAACCTGGCATTATGTGTGTGCGCTGCAAGTGTGCATGAGTGCATGGTCTCCAGGAGAGCGCGCGAGCGCTGAATGGTTAAACACTGGCAAGAATTCCTGTGTCGACTGTGCAGCTCGCTTATAGCGCAGATGCGATGTGATTTGAAGCCATTTGAGCATTTTGAGAGAGAGATAGTGCGTGCGGTGATTCACTCTTGTTTGTGAAATTATGTCTCACAGAAAGTTTTCAAATTACTTTATAAGTTATTTATTGAAGAAATATGAATTGTACCTCACCTTCAGCATCATACACTGAACAAAATTATAAACGCAACACTTTTGTTTTTGCCCCCATTTTTCATGAGCTGAACTCAAATATCTAAGACTTTTTCTATGTACACAAAAGGCCTATTTCTCTCAAATATTGTTCACAAATCTGTCTAAATCTGTGTTGGTTTCTGACAGTTTGTGCAGAAATTCTCTGGTTATGCAAACCGATTGTTGCAGCAGCTGTCCGGTTGGCTGGTTTCAGACGATCTTGCAGGTGAAGATACTGGATGTGGAAGTCTTGGGCTGGTGTGGTTACACGTGGTCTGCGGTTGCGAGGCCGGTTGGATGTACTGCCAAATTCTCTGAAACGGCATATAGTAGAGAAATTAACATGCCATTCACGGGCAACAGCTCTGGTGGACATTCCTGCAGTCAGCATGCCAATTGCACGCTCCCTCAAAACTTGCGACATCTGTGGCATTGTGCTGTATGATAAAACTGCACATTTTATTGTGGCCAGCCTAAGGCACACCTGGGCAATAATCATGCTGTCTAATCAGCATATTGATATGCCACACCTGTGAGATGGATGGAATATCTCGGCAAAGGAAAAGTGCTCACTAACACAGATTTAGACAGATTTGTGAACAATATTTGAGAGAAATATGCCTTTTGTGTACATAGAAAAAGTCTTAGATCTTTGAGTTCAGCTCATGAAAAATGGGGGCAAAAACAAGTGTTGCGTTTATAATTTTGTTCAGTGTATGTGTACAAAATCATATAGAACATATTTCTAAACGATAAGATTTGCATTTTCCCCAGACAGTTGATTCAGTAACTTATGTAAATGTTAATACCAAAGCCATCACTGGATGCATTTATAACACATATATGCTAAACAGTTTTAATTAATTTATTTTGTGATTTCTGGCTAATTGTAGAGTTTGTATTGGATTTGGTTTTTCATTTTAATGATGCAAGAATATACATGCTATATGTAGCAAAGTGGCGTTGGGCAACAGAAACACTGGAGAGATGACTACGCCACCCTAGGACTTGCACCCAGGGAAATATTACGCACACTCAGGTGCAACTCAAGGCAACACAGGTTCAAGTCTACTTAAATATGAGCAAGAGACGTGGGTACAGAAATATATTTTATTAATTCAATTAATAAATTATTTTGCTAAAAAGAAAATCACACAAGCAATAACCAACTTAAAATGATAGTACTACCTGCTGCTGATCTCCAAAATACACAACACACAAAAAGGTTTACAGGGCTGTGGCCAACTGGTATCAAACTCCTAAAGAAGCATAAATCTCAGTTATCACACACTATCAGTGCACACATTCACAATACCCAGTGAGATTACTGTCTGCCTCCCTGCTTTTTGTTGGACACACAGCACCTGTAATTAGATAAACCACGTCAACTTAATAAACCACACACAAATATACACTGAATAAAGAAAATATAAATCAAACTCCTAAAGAAGCATAAATCTCAGTTATCACACACTATCAGTGCACACATTCACACACTCACAATACCCAGTGAGATTACTGTCGGTGATCGACACAGCATGACATTGCACACGGTGACAAGACAGCACCACCACCACCCAAGTGTGGAAAATCTGCCTCCCTGCTTTTTGTTGGACACACAGCACCTGTAATTAGATAAACCACGTCAACTTAATAAACCACACACAAATATACACTGAATAACGAAAATATAAACTTAATTAGAACAAAATTATAATTAACTCAATTTCTAACAAAATCAAGAACACAACAGAAAAAAACAACAATTTCCAACAACTGGTTCAAAAAGACAATGAAAAGAAAAAGCAAATTAATAATCTTTAAAGATGAAATACACACAGAATGAAATAAAACAAATATTAACGTATAAAGCCAAGATGAACCATCCAACGAAAAGACAAATAAAAGAAAAGCAACTAATGCACCAAAGCAAAATTAAACTGATACAAAACAAAAAATATGCTAGCAGCGTATTTCTGGGGACTGATGTACAGACTAAACCACGTGCAGTGCAGCAGGAACCCGCCAACACATTACTAAAAAAAGAAACAACAACAACAACAACATGTCATTAAATAAGGGTAATTCAAATATATGAAACCGGACACACTTAAACACTGCATTTATACATACCGGACACTGCAGCAGTCAGCCACGTTAAATTGACAGGGCCAGCGTGAGCACTGAACAGTATAGAAGCAGAAGTTGACGCTAACAAAAACTAGATAATACAGCCAACCGCCACACCAAAGCAGAGCCAGTACGATGCGAAAAGGAGTAGATGCAAGGGGCTGACAGCAACAGGATGTCGCAAACATTAACCAGTTGACATCTCATACGGCTATAAATGGTACAGAAACACTAACATTAGTATAACAAACCAATACAAAAGACGCTAAACCACACTGCTGTAATGCTTACCTTTCGAATAGACGCACAAAATCAACCCTAAGTGAGCCGTGGCTGAATTAGCCACACCGCTAACAAACACACAGTGTCAAACGCCAGTACCAGAAAGGGGGCGGGGGCACCTGAGTAACACCTCCGACTGGCACAAATCAGCCCTTTATACACCCACCTATGCCTGCTGATAGCTAACAATATTCTAACGTCAATACAGGGAGCGGCTATCTAATATATATATATATATATATATATATATATATATATATATATATATATATATATATATATATATAATATACATGACTATAGGAATACATCCACTTTCAGAAGACTGAAAGTTGATGTTGTCTCTTCAGGGAAATGCTGTAAGGAAAAGATAATGAGTATCCTGTGTGAGATTCCACAGCCAGATGAGCATGTACTATGCATACACTTTCAAAACATCTTTTAAAGGGCAGGTCATATGGGTTTTTGAAAAATATATCTTTTGCAGTTTATAACGTAGCTATCCTTAAATTAAAACAATCTGCAAAGTTGTTAATCAAAAAAGTGCATGATAAATAAAGATATTGTCTCTCAAAAGAGAGAGTTGATTCTGAATCGCCTTGTAGCGAATCAGCTCATGGGAAAATATGAATAATGAATCATAACTAGTTATAATTAATTATAAATATTTAGATCCGCTGTAGATATTTACTTGACCTCTCAGGGTCAACTGTCTGTCAATTCTAAGAACGTTAATTTCCTGGTTAGGGGAAATAACTTTCTTACTGTACAATTCTACAAAGAGCTTGTAGCATAAATCTGCATGATTAAGTGACTCCAGTTATGAGCAAACAATGAACAACGTCAAGTGTGATACAAATAAGACTTTATTAACTACATAAACACTTAAACTAGTCTAACATACTACATAAACACTTAAACTGGTCTAACATACACATACACACACACATACAGTATAGGAAAGGGTTAAAGCTTAACGCAGTAAAGAGAAGAGAAATAAGAATATGA